AACGTCTTTCTTGTTTTGTATCGCAAGTGGTGCGAAGCTCAGCTTCGCCTCTGTAATTTAAGTTTAGCTCAATTCTTTCGTTAAAAAGAAAGCAATTTTCATTTTCGAACGGCGAAATGTTTTAAAATCTGAAGTTCGAAAGTTGGATTTTTCAAAAATCAAGTCTATGTTCAAAAAGCAAGTAGCTGTATTTTTTTTAAGTTATATTATAAGTATGTTCGAAGCTAGTTTAAGTTTCTTGAAGTATTCTTCTCTCTATGAAGTATTTTACGCTGACGTTAAACAGTTATCTAGGTTTCTCACATCAGATCTGGTATTGGAGTCCCTGCATGACTGTTTTTTTTCGCTATTGAAAAATTTAGTCGGCTCAGTAGTCCTTGTTTAGAAGCGATCTGCTCACTCCATTTCAAATGTTTGATTTTTTGGTTTCTTACCATTGCATCTTTAACTATCTAGTTTTGGGCTTCCTGCTTTTCGCCTGATGCTCCGTTGGTGTAGTTTCCGAAATGTAATTTATTAGCATAGCTAGGAATGTAAAATATTAGCATAGCTAGGAATGTAATGTATTGTAATACATAGCTAGGCTGTGCTTGTATGTTTGAAAGCTACTATTAATTTAGGAATTTTTAAAGGAGCATGGTTCTTGGGTTGGCTCTTTTCAACTTTCCCCCACTTTTGAATTTCACTTTGGAGAAATAATTTTAATGTTCTAATAATGTAATGAAAAGTTGCATAGTGAACACACTAACTATTGTGAACACATTTTTCTTCATAACTAATAGGGTAAGATCACGCATTCAACCATGATAATACGTAAGACAACAAAGAAAATTGAAAATTTGAAGTGTGGGGCAGAAGTGGAAAAGAACCTTTGCTTTTTGTGGTTTTTTGCATTGTGCTAATTAATCGTGCATGTTAAAGCTAAATCATATTGCGCAATGTTTTTCAGCCTTTCTTTTTAATGTCATTTTCCCCCTTTCGAATCCGCCATATAATTACAAACTATTTACAATAGCCAGCTTGAGAGCATATTGTATTAGTAGGATCCTTTCTTTTTTTCAACCTAACTCGCAAATAAAAGGGTTCATTAAAAGTATTCACTTATTCGATGGAACTTCTGCTATACTCACGATCTGTAGCATTGGAAATTTCATAGCATCTGTTCTCTGCTTTATTCGTGGCCAGTGTTTGTAACTTCCAAAGCGTCCGTAGCTGAGTGGTTAGTGTGTGAGACTCATCGTCTTTAGATCGCAGCTCTACTCCGAGACTTTTTACTAGTTGGAGGCTAATTTCTACTGTTCTTTGTAGAGCTGTTTTGTGTCGTTTTCGTGCTAGTGTGGGTTCGCCTTTGTCTTGAAAAAGGTGGTCAAAAGCTCCAGCTAGTTGAATCTTTTCTGGCCATGCAGGATTCTTAGGGCAACCTTTGTTTCTTTTTTAAAGGAAGAATCTTAAAGTTTACTTTTTCGCGGTTTGAGTTTTGTTTGTTTAACGCTTGCGATTAGCAAGCGTTTGTAAATCTGAAAATATACTTTTTTTTCCCGAATAACTATTTGTTTAACAGAACCACTTGGTAACGATTACGCCTGGGAAGTAATGAGTATGCCTAATACGGCAAAGTTCTTGGGCTCGAATCTGACCAGGACCTGTGTTTTACAAACGGGAAATTCTCAGTTTTAAAGAAAATTTCGGCTTATTAATTATCTGCTTCTGCTGCTTATATTTTAACGGCTTACTCACCTAATTTTGGGTTGTTCTAGGGAACCATGTTTTGTAAGCTTTCCTGCGGATTGCACAAAACGTTAAAATCTCAATAAAATTTAAATTTTTATGACAATAATTTTTTTGCTTAAAATTAGTTTTTGAATTTTCATTAAACATCGTCGAATGTGTGGCAGTGTTTTACCTAAATAGAACATCATTCTGATAATTTTTTTAGTCGTGGTTTCGTCAATTTTTTTTTCGTTTTCTTTGGACTTAGTGGTTCTTTTTTGCTTTCCTGTCTGCTAGCTTGCAATGCTATTTTTATGGTATCGCAAGTGATGCGAAGCTCCGCTTCGCCTGTGTCAGAAAACTAAACATTCCTATGATGGGCTGCTGTCAGGGTACACAAGTGGTTTGCAAAACTGGTCGTCGAATATGACTGCTCTAAAATCTTGTAGTTACCGAGATGTTGGATTTTCTATCATTTTTCATTTTTTAAAAACTTTGTTTGAAAAATCAATTTCTCAATCCCTTAATGGGTGCTGTCACTCAAGGTACACTCGACAGTCTTAAATTTGGCCTCCCATTGTGACGGCTGGAATCTTTTTGTTTTTCGAGATAAGTATTTTTCATGATTTAAAAAAATTGTAGCAAAACTGGAAACTGTCAATAATTTAGCGATATGACGTTTTGTTTATATATTTTTTAAAAAAACTCAAGTTGAAGAATTTTTCTTAAAATTGAAATTCTTGACACTTTGGTGGGATGATTTCATAGTACTCCTAGGGTTTGAAGATATGGATTCCGAATTTCACTGCTCAAATCCTTCTTTAAGAGGTATGAGTTTTTTAACAAATTGAACAAAAATTGATATTTAGATTCCTATTGTGGGAAGCTGTCAGGTTACACTCAGGGGTATCAGTTTTTTTCCAATTATGAGTGTTCAAATTCTATTAATTTCCGCGATATGACGTTTTTGTGGTTTTTTCAAAAAAATTTAAAAATTTTTTTGAAACACCACCATTCAAGTTGAAATTTTGGACCCTTTTGCAGGTTGATTTAGTAGGTTGATATCAGGGTACTCTCAGTAATTAACCAAGTGGCCTCCAATAGTAACTGCTTTAAGTGATTTGTTAGTTTTCGCGATATGACGTTTTTGAAGTTTTTCAAAAAAATTTAAAATTTAGTTTGAAACACCCCCTCTTAAATTGAAATTTTGGACCCTTCTGCAGGTTGATTTAGTAGGTTGATATCAGAGTACTCTCAGTTGTTAACCATGTCGCCTCCAATAGTAACTGCTTCAAGTGATTTAATTAACGAGATATTGATGTTTTTCATGACTTAACAAGTTTTCATAAAACTTAGATTTGAAAACACTTCAAAATTGGAAATTTGCAATCCTATGCTGAGCTGATGTCAGGATTACATTACAGGTTGCAATTTTAGTCTCTATGCGAAATTCTCAAAAGAATTTAGCAGTTTTATTTCTCTCCCAAAATTTTCAGTAAACCACGTAATTTTTTTTTTAAAATTCTGTGGATTGATGTTGGAACTTTTTGAGAACTTTTTTTACACTATATAGAAAGTGCAGTTTTATGCTGCCGGCCTTATGAGGTTCTATGTTTGGGTTAAAACTGCAAATCTGAAATAGTTTGATGATAAGATCTTTTTAGTTTTTTAGTTTATGAAGTAGAAAACCATGTTTGATAGCCCCTGTCTATTTTTACGGTTGTCTTTAGACTTGTGATCAACTTAGTGTGTGAGTACGAACCTTCTTTTTTTCTAACCTAACTCGCAAATAATAGTGTTCATTAAAAGTATTCACTTATTTATAAGTTTCACTGTAGCATTGGAAATTGTATGGCTTCTGTTCTCAGCTTTATTTGAGACTGAGTGTTTAATGGTACCTAATAAGCTTCTTGCCTGAGTGGTTAGTGTGTGAGACGCTTAATCTCTAGGTCGTAGGTTCGAATCTCAGAGGTAGACAATTTTTTACTAATTCGAGGCTAATTTTTAATTTTTATTATTGCACTTTATATAGCTGCTTTTTGTCGTGTTCTCGCAAGTGTTTGCAAAGCTTCGCCTCTTTGAAAATATTTGTTGGCGTGGCAACGTTCAAAATATAATTGTTTCAGAAAGCATTGGTTCTGTAGCTAGACTTGAAACGTAATTCTGAAACGAGTACTTGCCAGGTGTTTTTTTTTAAATCTCAATCAGCTTTTCAATGAAGTGTCGAGCGGCGCAAAATTAATTTCGTAGTTTTTTTGGTTTTATACACAGAAAATTTGTGCTCAAACATTTTCTGAAGTTGATATTAGTGTATCATTTCAACATTATTATTTTTCTATTTCGATCCTACTATTTTTTGTCTTTAGCGAGTTTTGGTTGGGATTTTAAAGTAGTTATTTCAGGTTTCAAGAATGTTTTCGTTTATGCGTTTTATTCTATTTTTTTGACCTTTTTTTAAATAGATTTCGGTTTTTTGATATACCAATTTTTTGCGCCTCTATTTCCCTCTTAGTTATGAGCGAGCGAGCTATAAACTTCTTTTTCCAGTGACAACGCTAAATTTGTTTTAAAGCCTTCAAAGTTTTTGTTTACTCGAGGAAAACAAGTTTTTGAAGCTTCATTTGGTACTTCTTAGCAAATAGAAAGTTTTCAAGAAAATCTGCCCATTTTTGCTCTATTTTTGTTTTATTATTAATTTTTGCAAACAACTGGGTCTTTTATGAGTATTTATTAAAGGTCTAAGCTTTCATCTAAGGTATTATATCGCCATTATAAAAATGACACAAGTTTTCGAAAAAAAAAAAGATTTTTCTTGTGAATGTGGTCGGAACTCCTGTTAATTTAAGTCCACAAAGTTGAACGAGTTGATTATGAGGATAAAACATGGTGACTGCTGAGGGCGTCTTTGACTGAATTCGTTCTCGCAGTATACTTTTCGTGGCCTTTGTATTAGAAACGTAAAAGCTTTCATGTTGGTTACAATCTGTAGATTGCTTTGAGGCTTAACTAATGAAACACTTGATGTTATCATCTGGTTTTTACTTTTAACTCGCAATTGTGTTTAATCTAAGTATTGCCAAACATCTTGACCGCTTAGTCATCTTTTTATGGCGACATTTTTAGGGAATGCGAAGAATAATTCAAAGCTGTAATTGCTCTAAAGCTTTTCTTTTTGAGGTGTTCTGATAACGAAGTTGTTTAAATCAGGTGAGCAAATATGACATAATGGAGGATTGTTTGAACGTTGCTTAACTTCTGTTGAACTGTAGAGCAGAAGAACAGTTTGAGTGTGTTTGTCGAGGGAGCAGAACTAGTTAATCTGTTGTGATTGTGACTTACCTTTATGACTTAAGAGTTCTTAATTCAAGAAAGTAGACTTGAATTGTTTGAATTCAACAGAGCAATTTGAAAATCAGGTAAAGGAAGATAAGTTGGTTTCGTTTATGATTTAAAGTCAGGCCAGCAGCTATTTTGTTTTCTAAACAAATTTCAAATTTTCTGAAGCCTCGTGAAAAATTGATGCTCGGAAATGAAGTTTTTGTCTTAGTTTGGCGTTTCACTGTCTTAATCTTTTAATTTCAGGTCATAGGTTGAACGTTTCACAAGCAATTGGACACTTACTTAATTCAATACTTATGTCACCTGCATTTAAATAACATCATCATACTTTATTGTCTGGCAACAAAGAATATCCAAGAAACAAAATGTCTAATTTCGGGAAAAATCAACTGGCCGACTCTTCGCAGATACCCGTTGCCAAAAATGCCAGTAGTGACGTACTGATGCCAAAACAAGCTTTATTTTCTGCCCAAATCTGCCAGTGGCCAGACATAGTGCAATGGTGCTGCAATAGCGATCAGTCGGAATCTTCAAGACTGTCAGCATGTACCAAATCCTCCCAATGTTCGGACCCCGAGTGCGTTTTCACGGAACCCTGTGCAATTTTGACGTACTTTATGGCGCCTTTGATTGTTGCATTTGCTCTCTGTTTAGGTGCCTCAATTCTAGTTATGACGCCGTTTAAGTACCAGCTTCGCATGCGATGGAAAATTGTGCTTATCTCGACGCTCCTGGTTTGTTTTGCGGCTTCTTTTTCCAATCTGGCCTTCTTTGTATCAACGGTGGGAGTGAAAGCTCCGCATGTTATTGCATTATACTTTGCAGCATTATCGCTTTCGTTTCTCTTGCTTGTTTTGAAGTGTTACAAGCGTAAGCTGCAGATTCGAAACTACCTTGGATTTGGTTTTGATTTGGGAGTTCTAGTAATTTATGGTGCAATAATTGGGCTGCAGTTATACATTACAATTCAGTTTCCGAATTATTACTTTAGTACCTTTCTTACTAGCGTACTGATTCATTCTTTTGTCTTTGTCATTCTCTTGTTGGCGCTCGTAGCTCAAGTTGTGGCAGCTATTGGTCGTCGCGGATTCACGGATCTGAATGAAGAGTCGTACATAACGAATGGGTGCGACCTTGGAATCGGAGAGGACAGGGTGGGGGTGTTTTCATACACCACAATCGGCTGGATAACTCCTTTGATGAACAGGGGGTGGTTTGGGTATCTTAACAGCGTAGACGATACGTTTTTTCTTCCAAGAGACATAGATATACCGACTGTAGCGAACAAACTTGAAGCTCATTTGCAAAGGGAACTTGAAAGTAGCCGCGAGTTCATAGAAGCCGAAATTGAAGAGACATATGGCGATGTAATTGTAAATGAGAAGGATTACGATCCAGAAGTAGACGGCGATGATAAGATTGTGATAGTGGAACCACCTTCCAGAGGACTCTGCTGTTCGGGACTGAAACGTCCGTCAAAGTTCTCACTAATGAAAGTTTTCTTCCAAGTGTTCGGCTGGTCGATTGTGCCTCAATTTTTCTTCAGAATCGCAAGCGATGCGTGTAGTTTATGCAGTCCAGTCTTCTTGAATCTGTTCATAACCTACTTATCGGATGAGAGCCAGGAGGCGAGTTTCAACGTGGGAGCGAGCTATGGACTGGCCATGATTGGGTTGACCATTTTGGGTACTATTTTTGAGCAGATGTACTTCTATCGCAGCTGGAAAGTAACTTTCAGAGCTAGAGGATCTATGATGGTCAATATATATCGAAAACTATTGAAGGTAAGAAGTTTTAAAATACACGATAAATTGCATTGCAACCTCGTTATTGGATGCAAGCTCTTGTTTGTTATTTAACAGTTATATTGAAATATTTCTCATTCCTTCCGCATGAAAGTTTTAAGGTGCCTAAAATAGTGCGAAGAAATGTTTTCTACGCCAAATTTTTGTACCGGTCCTTAAGATTTGCCAAAACAATAGAAGCAATCTTTGCGCATCTTGAAGGTACTTCAGCTTCAAATGTGATTCTGTTTTTAGGTCAACCAGTGCAAACTGTCGAAGTTCTCTTCAGGCGAAATCGTGAATTTCATGAGTCGAGACGCCTTCAACATTTCATACATACCATTATACAGCCATCAGTTCTTCGCAATGCCTGTGAACGTAATAGCAGTTCTGGTGCTTCTCTACTGGCAAGTTGGCATCTCATTTTTAGCTGGAGTGTTTCTATGTCTGCTCTGTGTACCTTTCAACCAGTGGCTCTCTGGTCGAATAATCAAGTACGATGTGAAGTACTACGAACATAGAGATGAAAGAGTTAAAGTTGTCACAGAACTCCTGAATGGAATTCGAACTGTGAAACTAGCAGCACTGGAAGAGTTCTTTGCCCGAAAAATAGCCACGATCAGAAACAAAGAGATCTTCAACATCCGACGTCTGAAGTTCCTCGACGCATTTTGTGTCTACATCTGGGCAGCGCTTCCTGTGTTGCTTGGAGTAGCCATATTCACATCTTACGCAAGTCTTGGTCATACTGTTTCGGCTGCTACTGTTTTCACGGTGTTGTGCTATGTGAATCTTCTTATTGGACCTTTGAATAGCTTTCCGTGGATTCTGAACACTTTGATCGAAGCTTATGTTTCGTTCAAACGTCTTAACAACTATTTTGCTCTCAAAAATTTTGACGCCGATAAGTTCTACTCAGAAAGTGGCGATTTGACACCTTCGCAGTTTGACGAAGACTCTGAACATTCGGATACGACTCCCACCGCTGAAAATGGAGACAGGAGAAATGCAGTTCGAATGCGCAACGCCGTCTTCTCCTACGGTCGCAAAAGCGAAGAAGTTCAGAACGTTAAATCGGTGGTTGTCCGTATGTGTCTTCGAGTTCTATGTATGTCGCATGAAAACGAGAATCCGGATCCAGAACCAAACAACAAAGGGTTCCAGAAGCTGCAGAACATCAATTTGTCTATAGATCACGGTAACTTCATTGGTGTTTTCGGGAAAGTGGGGGCAGGGAAAACCAGCTTATTGTCGGCAGTAATTGGCGAAATGAATAAACAGACGGGAAGTGTGAAAACATCAGAATCTACGCGAGGTTTCGGACTTGTGCCCCAAGAATCGTGGCTGCAAACGGGAACCATTCGAGATAACATCCTTCTCGGTTCCTCATACAACAAAGCATGGTACGAAAAAGTAATCAAAGCTTGTGCTTTGATTGATGATCTAAAATCACTGCCTGATTCTGATCTAACTCAAGTTGGCGAGCGTGGAATTACTTTGAGTGGCGGGCAAAAGGCAAGAGTAAACTTAGCCAGAGCGCTGTACAAAAACTTCGACGTATATTTGCTCGATGATCCCATGTCGGCAGTTGACGCACATGTAGCGGCTCATATCTACAAGAAGTGTATAAGAGGAGTCCTCAGAAACAAGACTGTGATCTTGTGCACGCATCATGTGCAGTATCTTAGAGAGGCAAATTCGGTGGTGCACTTGGAAAATGGACTCATTGCCGCAGTTGGCCGTCCGGAATCTGTGTTGCCGGAATCGGCAGGAGAGTTCAAAGAAGACGATGAAATTCACGAGACACAAGCGAAGGCTGATGGGAAGGACCTAGTTTTGGCAGATCGTGAGAATCCAGATTACCAGGCCGATGAATTAGTTGACGAAGATGAACAAGGTAAAAATATGCTTATTTACGGCGGAATTGAACTGAAAAGGTAAATTAAGATAAGTTGAGTTTGGACAACTTATCACACGGGAAAGGACCAACATACGAGCTGTTAGCTCTTCACGAAGAACCGCGTTTGCACCCCTGCTTAAGAATAACATACAATTTTTTGGCTATTTTTCGGCTTAATGTCGGCCTCGTACATTCGACCTTTCGTTTGAGAGGCGAAGATGTAACCACGTCACCACAGCTCCCGAAAAAGAGTGGAACCAGTCTGATTTAACTAATGTTTTCTATTTTTATGCTATATTTATCCTATAATTGTAGATAAGTTTTAGTCATTTTACCCTTACCGAAAAAAAATTGAAAAAAAAACGAATTTTGTTGATTAATTGCCTTGTTAAAATTTGTTGGTTAATTGCCTTGTTTAAAAGCTGTTTTACAAATTGTGGATTTATCATCTAACTTAGAAAAAAAAGAAGAATTTTTAAATTAATTTTAAAAAAATATATAAAAATCATTGCAAAACATCTATCTATCTATACTATATTTAAATGCGTTTGGCAGCTGTCTCCCCATGTTTAGACTATATCAATTTTGCGTCTGTAACGAAAGAAATTATCGTATTTTATCGTTTAAGCTATATCGTATATTGCAATGCTTCGGAAAATTGCTTCGATTTTCCAGCTTGTGTTTATTTGGCAATGGCAAAGTTTGAAATTAGCAACCCAAAAGTGGGATGCTGTCAGGGCTCCCTCAGGGGTCGCAAATTCAGCCTCGAAATGTGAATGCCAAATCTTTTTACTTTACGAGATACGATGATTCCTGTGATTTTTTCGAATGTTTTCATATAAATTAGATTTCAAAAATTTCAAAACATTCGAAATTCTCAACACTGTACTTGGTTGCTGTCAGGGCATTCGCAGGGGTTGCTAAACTTGCCACAAAATCTGACTGCTCAATTCCTTTTAGTCTCCGAGATATGATTTTTGAAAGTTTTTTAAAAATTTTTGTTTTAAATAAATTAATTAAATTTGATATTAGCAACACCACTTTGGTGGGGCGCTGTCAGGGTCCTTTCACGGATTGCAAATCGTGCCTCCAAAAATGTCTGCTCAAATACTTCTAGCTTCCGTGATACGATGATGTTTTATGATTTTTTTTCAAAAAAAATAGATTTGAAAAAATTTGAAATTTCGAACACCTCAAAAAGTGACCGCTCAATTTTTAGTTTCCAAGATATGACGTTTTTTATGACCTTTTGAAAGTTTTCAAAATTTTAGATTTGAAAAACATCACAAATTTTGATGTTAGAAACCCTATGTTGGGGTGCTGCTAGGGTACTTTCAGACGTTGTAAACCTTGCCTCAAAATATGACTGCTCAATTTTTTTGAGTTTTCGAGATCTGACGTTTTTTTTTTCAAAACTTTTCAGTAAACTAAGATTTAAAAATTTTCACAAAATTGAAATTCCCAAACCTGACGTCGGGTATTGACGAGGTGCTCTCATCTTGTCTCCAATGGTGACGGCTCAAATGCTTTTAGTTTCCGAGATATGACGTTTTTTCAAACTTTTTCAGAAAAATTTGAAAAAAAATTCCTAACCCTATAATGGCGTGTTCTCAGGGTTCTCTCAGAGGTTGCAATTCTTTCCTCCAAGTTTGACTGCTCAAATCATTTCCGTTTCCGAGATATGTACCATTTGTATGATTTGTGAAAAATTCGAAGCACCGTAGGTGCGTAACACGCTAGTATTTATAAAATCTTCAAAATTTCGTAATTTTGGAAAGGAATGAGCTATTTTTGCAATAGTTTTGCAGTCGGAACCTTCGGTGTAACTTGTAGAGCAACCGGTTATTTTTGTTCACATTTAAGGTGTCGGAGACGTTGACCTGAAGTTGTACGTCAAGTACTTCGAAGCGTCTGGAAAGTTTCTCTGCGTCATTACGTTAGTGGCTCTGACTTTGATGCAGGCCTCCAAAAACTCGTCCGATTGGTGGCTTACTTTCTGGACTGACAGCTTAAACAAATCTGCTCCTGTTGCATCTGGAACTCAGCCTACGACACCAAGTTTGTACAATGACTACCGAACTAGGTTGAGTCACAACTTCTACCACATTAACTTCATACATGTTGGACACGAGAATTCGGAGACATACGAGCACCTGTCGTTGCCGTACAGAATCCGGTCTGATGTTGTAGAAAATAATGCGGACGACTACAGATTCTATCTTTTGATCTACGGACTGATCGCTATGTTCAACAGTTTCTTCTCACTCTTCCGAGCTTTCTCATTTGCGATTGCAAATATACGTGCAAGTATCCGAATTCACGAAACACTCCTGGATTCGGTGATGAAGTTCAAAAACTCTATATTTTCGGTCACGCCTGTGGGGCGAATCGTGAACAGATTCTCCTCAGATGTGAGTGTGTTGGACGACGATCTGCCCTTCATGTTTAACATCCTCCTAGGCCAATCATTCACAGCCATGGGACTTCTAATTGTTATTCTTGTTAGCGTTCCCTACATTATCCCTCTCGTTCTGATAATGATGCTGGTCTTTTATAGACTTCAAAGGTACTACAGGAAAAGCTCACGAGAGCTGAGGCGAATCGCGACTGCTAATATGTCACCGGTATACCATCATTTTAACGAGTCACTTTACGGCGCCTCCGTTATAAAGGCAATGCAGATCAAAAACGTCTTCATGGACGAAAACGAACGAAGAGTGGTACGAGCGAACCGAGCACGATTCAACGAACGAGCTGTTCAGAGGTGGTTCGGAATCCGAGTTCAGTTGGTCTCGGCTGTCATTCTGATGTTGTCGATAGCTGTCGGACTTTTCCAGAAGCAGTTTGCTCCTCACCTAATCAAAAGTGGACTCCTAGGTCTTTGCTTGAGCTACTGTTTGACGATTCGCTCTACTCTAACTCAATTGTTGGCCACATTTGCAGAGAACGAGAAGAATATCATTTCTGTGGAGAGAATTGACGACTACAGTGACCCGGAGAAGTTTGAAAAGTTGGAAGGTGAAATAAAGTCTGAGGAGCTGAGACATTGGCCAAATAAAGGCAGGAAACATTTCCATTTTGTTTTCAAATTCGCAGTAGATACATAAATTGAACTCGATAATAAAATATTTTTGGTGAGCCATAGCCTAACCTAAAAAAACTGCAAGGCTTAAAAAAATTTTTTCGACCATTAAAGATTTTTTTAGCTAATTCTTACTGACCATAGTAGTCATCTCAACTTTTTGAATCAACTAATGATGTTTTTACTCCAGCAAATAATTCAAATGTGTTCTTTGGAATTTGTTTCAAGTAATGAGGATACGTTTCACCTATAAAAATTAGAAGGTTTTTTGTTTTTCCATTCCAGGTTCTATCGAGTTCAAAGACGTCACTCTGCGTTATGGTGACGATGAAACCAAAGATCCCGCTCTTCGCAACCTCTGCATGCGAATCGAAGGTGGAGAGAAAGTCGGAATTTGTGGACGAACAGGCGCGGGTAAATCATCCATTCTCTCAGTTTTGTTCCGTTTGGAGCAGATCTGTGGCGGGAAAATCTTCATCGACGGAATAGATATAGGACAGGTCCCAGTGCGATTTCTGAGATCGAGACTGTCAATCATTCCCCAGGATCCGTTTCTGTTCACGGGAACTGTCCGGGAAAACTTGGACCAGTCGCCTGATGACTCAAAAGTGAATGATGATGAGTTATGGCAAGCACTTGAAAGGTGAGATGTTTTGCTGGTCTCATTTTTTTTTGTTCCGTCACAGATGTGTCAAAGATAATTTTTTTGCCCAATTTTGGTTCGTTGGTGGTTGATCAAGTGTTATATCATATTAAAGCCCTGTTGGATCGTTTAGTGGCTAGTGTTTGTTTACTTCAAGGGACCGTAGCGCAGTAGCGACGACATGAGACTCCCACTACAGATCGGGGATTGCAATCTGGAACATCAAAGTAGATTAAATAGTTCAGTTTTCATTTGGTGGCATTTTTGCTGCATAGCATTGGCAATTTAATAGCAACTGTAACTGCTTCGTTGCTAGCTAGTTCTAGTAAGCTTTTAATTTATGGCGGCGATAATGTCAGGACGTGAGACTCGTAAGCCACAGGTCGGAGGTTCAATTTCGGCACATTAAACTTTTCTTTGGCATTTTTGTTGCATGGCATGAGCAATTTAATAGCAACTGTAGCTGTTTTATTGGTATCTAGAGTTTGTAATTTTTTAGGTGATTTTGGCGCAGAAGCGAGACTAATCGCCAGGTCGAAGATTCGGTTCCGATACCTAGCAAAAAATATATATTTTTCAAGGCTTAATTTTTTTTATTACTTGATTTTTGACTTTTCTCTTGCAATTTTCTCGCTGGTGCTTGCAAAGTGCAGCTGAGCCTCTGGGTTTTAAAATGCTATAGTTAGATTGCGCAGCAGCCGGCTGTCGTTGTTTCAGTATGTTAAGTTTTTTTGGCAATACATCCAAATATGATGGTAAGTAAAGGCTTAAACTTAAAGCTTTTATCCATTGGTCTCAAAAACTACTGTACCGTTTGTTAGTTTTGCGATCAGCATTGTGTGTTATTACGTACATTCTTTTTTTCTGACCTAACTCGCAAATAAAAGTGTTCATTAAAATAGTAAATTTCACTGTAGCATTGGAAATTGCATAGCATCTGTTTTCAGCTTTATTTGTTTTAGCTTTATTTTTTGCACAATATGAAAGTGTAGTCTTATGCTGTCGGCCTTATGAGGTTCTATGTTTGGGTTAAAACTGCAAATCTGAAAAAGTTTGGTGATAAAAACTTTTTAGTTTTTTTTAAGTTTTTGAAAGAGAAAACCATGTTTGATGGCCCCTGTCTATTTTTACGGTTGTCTTTTCTTGTGATTAACTTAATATGTTATAACGAACCTTTTTTTTCTAACCTAACTCGCAAACAATAGTGTTTATTACTTCAAATTGTGTTTATTACTAATTAAAAGTATTCACGTCTTTATAAATTTCACTGTAGCATTGGAAATTGCATAGCATCCGTTCTCAGGTTTATTTGTGACTAAGTGTTTAATGGTACCTAATAAGCCTTTGGTACCTTTGCCTCTGGGTTTTAAGTTGCTGTAGTTAGATTGCACAGCATCCGGCTGTCGTTGTTTCAGTATGTGAGGTTGTTTTGGCAATATATCCAAATATGATGGTAAGTAAAGGCTTAAGGTTAAGAGCTTTTATCCATTGGTCTCAGAAACTACTGTTAAGTTTTTTACACTTGCGATCAGCATTGTGTATTATTACGTGCCTTCTTTTTTCTGACCTAACTGGCAATTAAAAGTGTTCATTTCACTGTAGCATTGGAAATTGCATAGCATCTGTTCTCTGCTTTATTTGTCGTGGCTAGTGTTTGGTATCTATTAAACTTCCGTGGCTGAGTTGTTAGTGTGTGAGACTCTTAATCTCTAAGTCGCAGGTTCGAAGCTCAGAGTTAGCCGAATTTTTACTAATTTGAGGCTTATTTCTAATTTTTATTATTGAACTTTATAGCTGCTTTTTGTCATGTTCTCACCTCTGTATCAAAAAATGTTACCAATGGACAGGCCGACTGCCCTTGTGTGCCTGCATTATTTGCTTGTCTATTTTTATTTTACCCCACGTCATGAGGCCTTCCCCACGTTCTGATTTAGGATATTGTTTCCAGGTGTTTGTTAAGAACCCTTTTAATGACATGTTCTACTAGATTCTAATTGAAAGTTTCAGAAGTTGAGTTTTCTCGTTTCTTGGCATGTGCTGCAGCTACATAGTAGTCGCCAGGTGCATGGGTCATTTTCGTTGTAGCTTTTTCGGAAAAAGTCTGTATACTAGACGAGGTTTTGTTTTGTGATATTGATCGAATACGGTGTCTTCTCTGAATATGGTAGTCGTTGAAGAGGTTGGTCAGAGTTCTGGCACGGATCCAGAAATTGCAATCGCATTTTATCAGTCTCATGCGACTAGCGGTACAGTTGCGAGTTCTTAGACTTCTTGTTTCTCCGTAATCAGATATTGAGAATTATTCGGTCCAATTGATGTCGACTTTTCCGTTGATTATATTTTCACACGAAAAGTCATGACACTGAGAAAAGTCAAAATTGTGATTTTTTGACCGTTTTTTGAACTTTTTGACGTTTCTCGAAAACTATCTTCCCTAATCTGAGATTTTGATTCAATTGAGAGTACGGATTGTGAGAGGCTCCTCTGTGTGAACGCCTACACCAAATTTTACCAAAACAATTTACGCCCTCAGAAATGTCCATTTTGTGACTTTAAGTTAGTTTTATGTAACTTTTTGGTTTTTCTCAATTACTCTCCAAAACCTGGGATTATTGCTTCAGTCGAAAGAACAAGGGACGTGTAAAGCCCCCTGTGTGAGCGGGTCAGCCTTTTTTTCTTCACTAGATGTAATGGTCCTCGGAAAAGTCAAGTTTATGATTTTTCGACCGTTTATTCAAGACTTTTTGATTTTTCTCGAAAACAACCCTCCCAAATCTGAGATTTTGATTTCAATCGAAATTACGAGTTAAAAGAGGCTCCTCTGTGTGAGTTGTCATGACCAAATTTGTAACAATAAAAGTTAAGCCCTCAGAAAAGTCGACTTTCCGACCTCTTGACTGTTTTTACGCTCGCGATTAGCAAGCGTTATCAAATCGGTTGTAAGACTTTAATAACTTGTTTATTAGAATCATTTGGTATCTTGGTTGATAATGAATTCAAATTTTGAAGCGTCTCAGGCGTCTTTAGACATGATGGAGAACGAATACGCTTTGGACGGCAAATGTCCTGCGTTCGAATCTGACCGAGACCTGTTTTTCTCGGCCTCAATGATTTCAGCCTATTTTTTATCGGCTTACTCATCTAATTTTGGGTCATTCGAGGGAACCATAATTTGTATGCTTACCTCTTGGTCGCACAAAATGTTAAAGGTCTCAGAATAGACTTAACTTTTCATGGCATTTCTGAATGTGTTTTTGGTCGTGTTTTCCGCAAATAGGTCATCCTTCCAGTGGTTCTGACCACTTGCTTCCAGTTTTCTATGGTACTGTATTAGGTTGAGGCAGTTGCGATTAATGACAAAATTTGAGTTTTTCTAGAAGTAGTTGATGTGATACTTTGTCGATATCGCGAACTCCTTTTCCAACCTAACTCGCATACAATTTTTGTTCAACAAAAGCGTTGCTCATTTTGAGTGTCTGTTGCCTGCCTGCGCACTTGTATTATTAGCATTTATTTTAAACGCTTTTTTGTTGTCTGACGTTTGGAAGAAAGCAAGGGCTTAGTTCATTCGGCTCATGTTTAGATTCCCTCGCCTCTGGGTCGTTGGCCCAAATCCTAGAGCGCCGAATTTTTCCGAAGTTCATTTGCTATTTTTCTTCAATTTCAAAGCTGTTTGTTGCCTTTTTCTGCTTGTTGGTGAAGTGCAGCTTGTCTGTGCGGAGAACTACTTTTATATTAGTAAATTCACGAGACAGCAATGCGGGTGCTTCAATGGCGTAGGCATGTGACTTCTCTTCTAAGACTCCGTGCTTCAAGACCCATAGCTAGCTATTTATGTTTAAACTTATTTCAGCGTTTTCGTACTTTTTAGACTAAAGCCCCTTTTGTCTAATTTTGCGAAATGGAGTTTCACCTCTATGCTCAAAAGTGCAGCTTTGTATCTGCGTAAAAATTGTAAAAATGAGTAATGGAATTTTACAAAGGTAACATCCTATAAGCTTTCTTTGAGGTTTCTAAAGTTACGTGTAGGAAATATGCGCTTAAGTCTTAGTTCATTTGAACAATTAAAGCTCATTGAAATTTGATGTCTATCTTTTCAGGGCGCACATGAGAGAAGCAGTTGAAAAACTTGGAGGTCTGGATGCGGAAGTTGGGGAAAAGGGACAGTACTTCTCAGCTGGACAGAAACAACTGATCTGTCTCGCCCGCGCTCTCCTACTGGACACCAAGATACTCTGTCTGGACGAAGCAACTGCCAACGTCGACACCGAAACAGACTCCAAAATCCAGCAGACCATTCGAGAAGAGTTCCAAAACAGGACGGTGATCACCATTGCACATAGAATCAACACTATATTGCACTGCGGAAAGGTGATTGTGTTGAGTAAAGGTCAAGTTTGCGAAGAAGGTGCTCCCATGGACTTGATTGAGCAAGAAGACAGTCATTTTGCATTGCTGGTGGCGCAGTCTGGGACTAATACACACAACACCAGTTGATTTTTAACTAACCAAGATAAGCAATCAGGGTTCAGTGTTGCAACCAAACATCACAATTATAGTCGCTAGATTAATGAGGCCACGTGTTAGCTTGTTTCTTATATCTTACCAAATATATAGTCTATACGATACAATTTCTATAGTTGAACTGAAACGGTATCTTGCTCACTAAACTCTGCCCCCTCCCCCCCTTCCGTGCCTAAGTCCAAAATGGGGAAAGTTTTTTTATGCACAAGGTACAAAATTTACATATGTTTGAACCATTGAATTAGTCCTTTATAGGGATACCAAGGTGCCAGGGGGGTGTAGTTAACAAGATCCCTGAAACGAAAAAAAGATAAGATTTCATTAAAAGTTAAATCAACAAGAAGGATGATTTTTAATCAGAAAATTAAGAATTTTTTTCTTTAGATTCGTATGTGCAATTTTTTTTCAAGCAGTTCAACGTTCACGTTCTCTTCAGTCAAGGTGCTAATTGAGTAAAATCTTTTCTATTTAAGATTTAGCTGGTCTAAAATCAGCCAGTGCTAGAAAACCTTTCATTCATTCTGCGTGTATAGATAGGCAATAAATAATCTGTAGATGTTATATAAAAATCAAAATCCACATATTTTTGTATTCAACGAATTTTTGTGTGTTTGTAGGAGTTAATTTTGAATAGAGTATATGTGCTACAAAAAATTTAGGTCTTTGGGCTCGTCTGAACTTGTGCTAGAAAGTCGTGAATGCATCAGGTCTCCCTGTTTTTTTTTCACGTCTCCCTGATTGAGAGTAATGAACCTAGTGAAGACTTTTTGATAGGTCTTGGTGATTTTTTTTTGTTTTTTCAGGAAAAATCTTAAAATGCTCATGAGTACAGTTGTGCATTCATACATATTAATGCATTTATGAATGCTCTTAGGTATATATGCACTTTTTGAGTTCCATTGAAATTCATCTGTAAATAGCGCTCTCCAAATACGAACGTGGAAATGGCGCGAAAAAACGGGAACAATTTTAGTTTCGAAAGTGGAAAATTGATTTCCAGCGGAATAAAAACTTTACCTGTTGATCCAGTTTTCTCAAGTTGGGTTTTTGTTATCAATAAAGCGCCAATCTTGAACTTTTCTAGAAATTTAACGAGCGAAAATTTTTTTTCTTGGAAATTCGAAAGTTGATTACTCATTACTCTTTTCCAACTGTCTGTTGGCTATGTTTGAGTTCCTGTTAATAATTCAAATTGCAGTTTGTTTTTGCAGGTTAGATATATGTACATTGAATTCATCGTCTGAGCCCATGTATGTGTTAATAACCGCAAAATGTGAATATACTTTTTTGTATTTAATTTTAGTTGTTCAGCCGTTGAAGGAAAATGGTAAATAATTAAGTTCACCACGTCTAGACTTGGTCTGTATGAAAACTTTATAGGTAATTGAACTTGGCTTGTCTGTCGGTCTAGACATCTTTAAGGTGAATGCTCGTCTAACCTAATATGGCTAGACAGACTGAAGTCTAGACAATGAACTGAATGAATATTTGACCGTTTTAACCGGACAAGCGATTTGTCTAGACATATTGCTTGTCCGGTTAAAGTGCAAATAAGTTGGAGTTGAGTTTAAAACACGAAATGAGCAGTGAAGCTTATAGTCTAATGAAAGCTAAATACAGTAGGTATATATAAACACATCCGCTTTTTTGCTCTAAACCAACTCCCTACTTAATTTTGCCGTTGTAATTTCTTTCGTTCAGTAAAATAAAATTGTCAATAAAATGCACCTGATTTGAAAATAACAAAATTAACAAATGTTTTCCGAGCAGAATATTTAATCAAAATTATATTGTCTTATCTGTTTTCTTCTAAGCACCCGAAGATTTTAAAAGCGTTATAAGATAATCATGAAGAGAAAAAATTCTAATTTCACTACTAATGCAAGCAATTCTACAATAATAATTTTATCACGTGAAGAAAAAGTTCTAGCAAAATTGGCTATGATGACATAGATGCAAAGTTTAAATCGGTACTGCGAAGTGATTTTCTTTGTTTACGTTCTGACGTCAAGTTTCTAAGTTGCATAAAAGTCGAAAGTTAATTATGAAAATCTCAAAATTGCAAGAAAACGCTTGCAAAAACTGTTTCGGAATGTTTTACACTGCCTAAGTTTTTCTCCTGGATCTATCTATGTTTTTTGGACTCAATTGTCATTCTTGTAGCCAAGTTTGATAGTGAAAGAAGAGTTGAAATATTAATTGAAACGATGTAATAAAAAATTTGTTAGATGATAATGCATAAAATATTAGTTGAAAACTTTAATGTCAGAAATTTTGGATCTCTTTGCCTAACATGGAAAACAAGCTGGTCAAATTTAAGCGGTTTATATTTCTGAGAACTAAAATTGTGTTGTCTAAGAGTCCGACCAAAAGCTGTTATCGTCTTAATCGTCTCATTTGCCGGAAACAATTAGCACACTACACTCTGTGATTGGATTTTTCGAGGTGTGATTTGACTTTGCTTTAAAGTTAATTCAATTTCATTTGATAAAAGGAATAAAAATGAAAAATTTCCCAAATGGCATAAATTTCATGCAACAGTTGAATTGAAAAAATCGAGAACAACTTTTCGTGAACAATGTGAGAAAATTAGTCAAGTTGTCAATTCAAATGTTGATTGACTTTTGATCTTGAAAAAATTGTAGATTTTTTATCAAAAACGAAAAGTTTCGGAAGTGGATTTTAATTTTTAGAATTTCCAGCAGAATAAACAATAAGTCTGACTCAGTTTATTCTACTTGTGTTATTAGAAGAAAGTTTAGATGATTTTTGAATTTCAGTACCTAAATACAAATTTTTTTTAGAAAAAAAAATTGCTGCACGTTTTTTAAAAGTTTTTTTTTGGTTAAAAAAAATCTGGTAGTGTGTGGTGAAATGGGTAGTGTTTATTTAAAAGCTAATAAAGTTTCAGATTCAAACATGACAATGTGAAAGTGTCTCTAAATCAGAATAGAGACACCACATGAAAACTTCTCGAGACTATGACCAGTTTACTCTCCTAAATATGATTGGATTCCTGGCTCTGTCTTCTTAGATAAACCAGGTTTTGGAACTTTCTCACTGGAATCATTTGTTACCAGTTTACTACAGAAGCGGAAACCAAATGAAGCTTCTTCGAAGATTTCAAAACTGGTCCAGAAGGCAGAGTTCTCGGCTCAATTGGGTAAAACGAGTGATTGTTTTTACGAATTGACCGGTCAGTTCGGCCATTCTTGGAAGAATCCAGGGATTCGTTGCATCATTTTAGTCTGGGCATTAAGTCTAGCCACGGATCCGAGATGTCCGTTTGAATCACATCGGACAACTTTTTCGAACCAGTCTGTGTGAATTTCAACACAAAAGCGCTCTTTTTATTGATGCAATTTTGTTATTGTTCGAAAAGATGTCACGTGGGATCTTCACTTTCGCAGCTGGGGATGAAAATATTGTTGAAATCAGCCTGCTGTTTGCGATGTGACGGCGGACAAGGCGGTCAACGATGTTCGAATTGAAGCTGGAATTTGTTTCGGAATTTGATTCGACCTTCTGTTGACGAGAACCGGACCACACCTAATAACTTCGCAAATCGCTCCCTTTCAAAGTCCAGTTTTTGAAGTCTACCAAATCTCAAGTGAGCTGAAAGTGGGCTTCGAAAATTGGCAATGGGAGATGGACTTTACTGTTACTGGGTCACTCATGGCTAAAGCCCCCAGTCATTACTTCATTACTTTCTCTTTACTTTTACTTGGAGTTTTACCAACTTGATTTGCCTGCAGAACTGAACGGGTGGATCGGGATGACTCTAGATACCCATTATTGCGACTCCTTGTTTTCTTATGTATGTGTTATAATTGATACTTATATCAAGAAAACTACTGAAACTAAGAATAAAAATAAAACCAAGCTGAAAATAAGTTTTTTTTCTTCCCGAGTTAAGCTTCCGAAAACATCAGGTCTTGTAGAAATAGTGAATAATTTAATGCATCTTGTTTTTCTATCTTAAGTTCAACCTATTGGTTTTTCTGGAACTAAAAGCCAGTTCTACTCACCACGCGAGACCCTCTGTTTTTTCGTAACATCTGTGAAGTTCTCTTTGCTCGTGTTGTTTTGTCAGCTTAATTTAACAGCACGGACTTTCTTTTATTGATAATTGAGTAGTTGTAAGTATTTGGCAACTAAGATGTTTTTGATGTTCTAAAGTTGTGGTATTTAATTTAGTTTGAAGTGCTGGAGCTGATTTTTTGTATATTGTGGATATTTCATTTATTTCACTTGTCTAAATATTTTTTGGCTATTCAGTTTCCTCTTCGTTAAGATAAAATTCTTCTGCGTATACGTTCTTTCTATCTGTATTAAGCGTGAATTAAACCAAGTGATTTTTCATTTAGGTCGGAGTGGTTCTCTACTTCGGCGTTTTGGCTTTGGTTTTGTTCTTAAAGTTCACTTCAAAATACTTAGCTAAACATGATACATCGCTTTCTCCAATAAGAATGTAGACATTGCGCAAAAATTGTAGCTTGGCTCTAAGCTCCGAAAGTGGATTTTAAATTTCTGATTTTGGTCTTAGTTTCATTGAAAACCTGACAATAATAATAACAGTTTTTTGAAATCTATCTATCTATTATTTAATTGGCGTTTCACGTGACACATGTTTAAGAAGTCCCTATGTTGACGTGTTTAAGAAGTACCTATTTTTGCATGTTTAAGTTTTTTCAACGTATTATTTTTTGCATATTTAACGAAAATATTTTGCACGTTTAAGCTATACCGTAGGTTAAAATGTTTAAGAAATTTCATTTGGCTCATGTTTAAGTCTGTTGGTATGTTAAAAAGCCGAAAAATTGCAAGATTTGAAATTTTTATATATACATACGTTCTATACATTTCTATATAGTGGGGTGCTGTTAAGTACCTTTAGGGGTTGCAAATCTGGCGTTCAAGTATGACAGCTCAAATCCTTATATTGTTCGAGATATGGCGCTTCTATGATTTTTTAATTTTTTTTTCAAAAAACCTAGAAAGAAAAAACCCAACCGAACTTGAATTTTGAACCCTATAGTGGGGGTGCTATCAGGGTATATTCAGGGGATGCAAATCTGGCGTCCAAGTATGACTGCTCAAATCCTTTTTTTCGAGATATGGCGTTTTTATGTTTGTTTTAGTTTTTTTTTTTCAAAAAACTTAGATTTCAAAAAACTAA